TGGCTTGTAGCTGTCCAGCTTGCCTTGAGGTGTGAACGGTTGAAGCAGGCTTGCTCGCTGAGCGTGAACGGTGGAAGCGAGCCTAAGGCCCACTTCAGACGGGGCAATTTCCCCCAGCAACTTAACGTCACAACACCAGCAACACGGGCCGCCTGCGTTCACATGATGCAACCGAATTGCTATGACTTGCCATCATCATGAATTTTGATTTTTCTTGCACTATATAGACGCACAACTACGTGCTAAAAACGTGTTTTTATATCTTTGAGTGGCGTTGAGAAGACTCACTCATGTTTCGTAAAAAGTTTATTTCCAAAATGATCCATTTCAAACCAGGACCAAGTCTTCAGCTGTCATCCTCACCGCCACAGGGGTGTCACGTGAAAATATTGCGTCCCTGATTGGCTGCTGCCGCTTCCAACTTCTCCAGTTTGTTAGAGTTGCTTGTCTGTTTTGAGCCGAACCTGATCTCAGGAATTCGTGCTGATCTGGGAAAACCTAGGGAACAACCCGCCAGCAACCTCAAAATTGCTAGAAACGTTCCCCGTCTGAAGTGGTCCTTAGGGAACTGAAATCAAGGGCAGTGGAGCTCTGGGCTCAAACCCACCTGGAGACGTTTCTTTTTTTTTTTTTGCCTTTTTTTAGTATACTGTTAACGACTTCATTTTCGCGGGCTCAAATTTTTTCGAATCGGGCCAAAGCTGGAAATTTAAAATTATTCGCGGGTTCCAATTTTCGCGAACCGAGCTTAGCTTCTGTAGTTGTTCGCGGGACGTATTTTTCGCGTTTGTAGGCAATTCGCGAAATTCGCGAAAATTAGTTCCTCGCGAAAATTTAGTAGTTTACAGTATATATATATATAAATATTTATATTTATAAATAATACCTTTTTTTTAAGTTTTAACGTATAGACGCATAATTTACACACTAATTCACATTCAGAATTGCTTTTATTCACACACTGGCTCCCTAGTGCTTGCAATAGCTTCTTGATGAGCTATTGCAAGCTCTGCAAGGGGAAGGGCATCTTCCCACCCTTTGCAGGCTGTAAAGCTGTGGCTTGCACAGCTCAAGCAGGTCGCACCTCGCACACTGGCTCCATCATAGAGCATAGGGGCTGCATGAGTTGCGCCACACCGTAAGGCTATATACGGTCGGGTCACAGCACCTGGGACCATTCGTCGCTGTGCTCAGCTATGGTATGGTAGCATGGTCAGGGCATGAAGCAGGGGTACAACTTGGAAATGCTCATCTTCATCACATTTGAAGCACATTTTTTTTATTACTTTTGTGTCGAGTTGTCAGCATTTTAAGGGTGAGGAAGCAAGCAGCAGCGAGAGCAAGAAAAAAATTGAAATCCGCTCTTCATGAGAATTTATTACGAGCACTATTAAGCCGTGGAGTATTCTTAAAACGCTTCTAAAGTTGAATTAGCATATAAATTATGTGCTAGTGCCTAAAAAAGAAATTAAATAAAATTAATAAGGATAAAAATATACACCAGGAGGACTTAAACCAGAACTACACAGTCTGTAAATTTGAAATTTGACACCATAAACCACTTGGCCACCACCCAATTTTATTTTTAGGTCGTTTATCGAGGTATATGAATTTCGTTTGCAGCTGTCGGCTGCAAGAGAGATAGCCTTATTTTAATTTACTTTACTATTCCCATCAAATATGATAAGTGACCAAGAATAGAATTTCATTTGTCGGCCGAGGCACTGTACTTGCATCAAGGCAAACTAGTCTGGCTTGGTAGGCTTATATTTTGTTTTATCACCCGTTTAGGATTCTGTTGTCGCTCATCAAAAGAAAAAAAAACTGACTAAGTCTGACTTATTCTGGTTTGCAGGTATCCTTGGCAGTAAGCTCTGCTAAGTGGGGCAAAATATATGTTATACATTTTTTAGCAAATACGCATTGTTTTAGCAAAATGAGCTACACTTTTTGACTAAGGTGAAACAGAACGAGCCTCTCTACCTCGGTCTGTTTTCATCTCGCAGACACTATTTCCTGCTTTTTGTGGTTTTTATCAGACTTTTGTGTCTCTGTCCGGCCAAAGCATCTGTGTTAGACTCAGACTGGTTTCTTTAGGATATGTGCAGGTAATCTTCGCAGCAAATGGCTGCCAATCAGGAACACGAGTTTGTTCTCGGCCACCAAGAGCAAGTATTTTCAAGGTGAGCTATTACCCGCCTGTATGACTTTTGTGTTTCATTCCTCTTGGATGCCATTTCCTATGTGTTCTGGTCTTGCATTAGTATTTTGTTGTGTCTCTTCTGGAAAAACACCCAAGTTTGACTAAGACCGGGTCCTTCTTATACATGCAGGTCTTGGTGGCGAGCAGAAGCCAATCAAGGCCGGAAGTTTGCTCTTTGCCGCTCATGGCAAATGTTTTCAAGGTGAGTGATTGATGCCTATCTGAGTTGTGTGTTTTATTCCTCAGAGACACTCTATTTCCTGTCTTTATAGTGGTCTTGTGTCAGGCTTTTGCGTCTCTGTCTGGCCAAAGCATCTGTGTTAGACTAAGACTGGGTTCTTTAGGATATGTGCAGGTATTCTTCGCAGCAAATGGCTGCCAATCAGGAACACGAGTTTGTTCTCGGCCACCAAGAGCAAGTATTTTCAAGGCGAGCTATTGCCCGCCTATATCAGTGATGTGATGGCTGCGCCAATTGCGCCAAACTGCGCCAAGGGGCTAACCCTGCTACATCCTGCTACATTTTGCCAAAATATGGGTAGTCTGCGCCAAAGGGCCAATTTTGGTCGCCTTTCAAAACAGAAACTAAACTAAGTACCGTAACTGAGCATGCATGAGCTAGGCGGCGCAAACGGCCGCCCGACACAAAATACCCTGCATCAATCGTCCATGGTTTTTTGCATGGTTTTTTCCGCCATGCCGTCTCTCTCGCTTTTTTTTTTAAACGATAGTTGCCGGCGTGTGTGTGTGTGCTGCGACGCTAGCGTGCTGGGTACCAGCCATGACGTGACGCTGTGAAACGAAACTATGTTTCGGCGCGGCGGGAGTTACTTTTTGAGCTGAAGCTCTCGCTCCCGAAATCAACGGCCGCAAGACGTTGGAGATATGGAGCTTCCTAAATTGAAACATAAGGACCGGCGCATGTTCATCAACATTCATGATCTTGTTTAAAACATACGCTGCTACAAAATCCCTCTCTAGCTCAAAGACTGCTGTGTCGAAGTATTGATTACCTAGGTTTCTCTTGGTGGGCTTTCTTTCGAGAGGGACCCCGGTACGTGAAAAATGTGTCGTGAAGAAAAGTTGAAGTGAGCTGAAGCAAAGAAGGGAATGTCTGCACGCTGAACCCACAGAGCGGGCTTGTTTGTCTCGAGTTCAGTCGTTGCACAAAGCGACCCTGACTCGCGATGTCTTGCATCAATGCGCTCAGGTTCTTTTTTTCTGTGTTTATCTCATACCTCACCTGCCGGCCTTGGAAGCACGCGGCGCTGGAGTCTTTTTTTGTCGCATGATGTGCAGTTACATTTTGCATAGACTTTTGGCAACCAGTTTGCGGCAGAGCGGAGAGGCATGGTTTCGGTTTCGATCGAACAGCCGTTTCGCTCGCGCGACGAAGCACGTGACCTGCAAGCCTGCAGGAGTTGCCCTCACGTGCATGTGAACCAACGATGCGAACATAATTGCACAACAGAGGAACCAGCCGGGACGCTTGCAATTCATTGTTTTACCTTTAATTAGTTTTGACGAAAATCTGGCACGTCGGCAACCAGTAAAACGGTGGCAAGCAGTTTTTCGGAATTGCTTGGCAATGCCTACAGCACTGTACGCTTGTGGGATGTCGCAATATTTCTTTGGAGACATTGAAATTGGACATTCATTACTACCCTAAGCTAAAGCAAAGCTTGCTCCAGCCTTGCAGAAAGTTTTGAAAAGCAAAAAGAAATGTGTCATGTCATTGGCATTTCAGTTACATCTTGAAAGACTCCCAGGTGGCCGAACTTCACCATAATTGGTTTATTTCGGCGAGCATGATTCTCTTCGTGTGTCCAGCATTTAAAACAAATATTTTTATTTTTATTAGAATATCTGCTTTAAAAGCTACTTTTGCTGCTCCAAAACACTGTTTTGGCTGCTCCAAAGGCCACTTTTTCTGCTCCAAAATGGCTTAGGCCAATCACATCACTGCTATATGAGTTTCAGCATTTGTCAAGGAGCGCAAAAATCACAGCCCGGGAGTTGGCCATTGCAAAAATGTTGACTCAGAAGCGCATAGGGAGGAAGCTTTACAAAAGTATCCACCTGCCTCTACAAGTGAAACCAAAACTAAGAATCTGGGTTCCATTTGAAAAAAAAATTGTCAGCCCGAATTAACTCAAGGCGACACGGAGCAAACAAGCCATAATACGAGTAGGCTTGGCTCAGGCTTTTGTAGGGGTGTTCCATGACTTGGTGTTTTCTAAAAAGTTATCTTTTTCTAAAAGTGTGGTGGTCGAATATTCGGGGATGGGCATTGAGTCAGGATCTTAAGGTAAAAATTTCATCCACATGCCGGGATTCATGTGCCTTGTCCCCCCTAGCTAGGGGGACAAGGCCTTCAAAATTTTAGGTTCGCAAAAGGGGTGCGTCAGTATTGACGTCTCATTTTACGTCAGGCCTTTCATTTTAAAACTGCCTATGAATGACATGGCTAAAATTCGTTTGGGTGAACTTCCTCCCAGACACACCGTGCAAGACGGTGCTAGCGGATGACTTCAACTGTGTGCTGTCTGAGCGTGACTGTTCTAAGCCCTTACGTTCCGACGCCAGTAGGGTTGAACTAAGGAAGATACTGCGAGATTTCGATCTTGTAGACGCCAAGGAATATGCATCAACAGAAGATCCGGCATACACCCACTGGCAGGGAGACTGCCATGCACGCCTAGATCGCGTGTATCTTTCTGGGAACCTCCCAACAGCATCGTCGGTGCTCGAAGTTTGGCCTGTAGCCTTCTCGGACCACGCCTTAGTCACGGTAACAATGGGAAGACCCGGCCCCCGAGTCCAGAAGTCCTCATGGAGGAGCGGCTGGAAGCTGAACGAAAGTCTGCTCGAAGACGAACCACTGCGCGTTCAGATTAAGGAGCTGATCGAGAGCAGAAGCAAAGGTATGGTCATGGATGCAGTTATCTGGGAGGAGCTTAAAGAAGAGATAAAGCTGGCAGCCTTCAGGTACAGTCCAGAGAGGGCAACACGGGCGAAGACGGCGAAGCGCTTCCTGACACAGACGCTGCGAACCCTGATAGCGGAAGAAAATCGGACACCTGGAGTTTTTACGCAAGATATCCGGGAGTGCAAAGGCCGTATTCTTGAGCTCTTAGAAAAGGAGTACCGTGGAGCCATTATCCGCAGTAGAAAGTTGTTCTTGGAAAAGGACGAAGAGCCGCAAAAGATATTCAAGACAAAGGAGCGGTTGCATGCTACTCGCAACAGGATCAAAAAGCTACAGGTTGGCGAGAATGAGCTAACACAACAAAACGAAATAGAAGACGCACTTTTGTACGCCTACACCAATCTTCTTACAGGGGTGGAGGAAAATCAGGTACACCCAAGATCCGAAGAAGCGCTCCCAAAGATCTCGGAAGCCGTCAGAAAACATATGAACCGGAAGATAACGACCTCGGAAGTAAAGAAGGCCATTAAGGATCTAACCCCGCGCAAGTCTCCGGGAATCGATGGACTTGGTAGCTCCTTCTACAAGGCGTACGTAGAACTGCTGAGCCCGATCCTTGGAGGAGTTTTTTCGGATACACTCAAGCGAGGACTTCTGCCACCCTCCATGCGTCAGGCAGTCACAGTCCTGATTCCCAAGAAGAAGGCAGAAGGAACTCCAGAAGGTGGTAACTTCCGACCAATAAGTCTACTTACCAGTGACTATAAGATCCTAGTTAAACTCATAGCAAAGCGTCTGGAATGGGGACTCCGAGACGCCATCGGAGAACATCAAACCTACGGAGTCAAGGGCAGAACCATCAGCACCAATCTGCACACGATGCGAGTGGTGTACGAGGCGGCGCAGGTGCTACAGTGCCCGTTAGCAGTGCTTCAGGTAGACCTCAGCAAGGCATTTGACCGGGTGTGCCACGCCTTCCTCTTCCGACTACTAGAGAACTGCGGGATCGGTTCACGCTTGCTCCGGTACGTACAAATATGCCATCGGAGCATCACAACACGATTGCTGGTGAATGGGAACATGACAGCTCCCATTTCTGTGACTAGATCGGTGCGACAAGGATGTCCTATGTCGCCGATACTATTCGCGTTGTACCTAGAGCCACTATGCAGAACGATCATTGGTGACGCAAACATTCGCGGGCTGTCCTTGTCGACAGGGTCCCTGAAAGTGCTTGCCTACGCGGACGACGTAGCTGTTGTGTTTTCATCGAGAACGCAAGTACGCGAAGTGATCCGACACATCACAGACTTCTGCGATGCCTCGGGTGCTGAACTGAACACAGACAAGTCGGCCGGAGCGTGGCTGGGAGACTTGGATGTGAAGCCACAACGATACCTCGGAATCACCTAGACGGAAAGTGTGTCGGACTACCTAGGTGTAAGCTTGGATGCGGGGCAACCGAGTGCTGGGCGCGGAGGTGTGAACATTAACCGCCTTAGAAGCAAAGTTCAAGACTGGCATGCCAGGCAGATGTCTTTGTTTAGCCGATCATTCATATGCAACTCTGTATTTTTTCCGACCGTAGGGTACGCGGCACAAGTGATGCCATGTTTACAGGGGGACATTGCTAAAGCTCATCGTTTCTTGGCTACTTTTGTCTGGGATTCGTGTTTTGAGCGCATGAGGCGAGATAACTTGTTTTTGAGCGAAAAGAAAGGCGGCCTAGGTCTGGTAAACGTTGAGCTTAAGTTGAAAGTTCAACGTTTCCTTTTTTTTTTCGAGATCAAAAAGATGCACTCATAGTTTCTTCTTTTAAAAATCTGGGAGGGAGATTCTTAAGGCCATGGGTAGAGGGTGAGACCGGGAACTCCTGTTCACGTGTTTTGAAGTTTTATAAGAAAATAGCGGCAGCGATTGAGTTTTTCAAAGCACGGTTCTCGGAGGAGTACTTGAAGAAGGTTAATAGGAAAACTTTATACTGGGACACCCTAGACTTGCTTACGCCGCCGCCGTTATATCGCGTGGTGGATGGAAGCAATGTCGAGTCGGATGTTTTTCAACGGCTGCGAAGATACCCCGTCAAAACAAGTACCAAAAACTTTTTTGCGCGCTTTCATTTTGAAGTGTTGCCTGTCAAGACCTGGCGGGTCAAGATGGGGTTTTTTGAGCCATGGTCCACTAATTGTGTATTGTGTCCGACACCGGAAACTTTACAACAAGTGTTTTTGTGTTGCACCAATGCGGAACTTTTTTGGGCAGAACACCGAGCGGTCTTGAGGATCGACCTGTATGTGGGATGGAAACGGGCAAAATTTTTGAAGTTCGGAGAGGGGCCAGAGAGCAGAGCGTGGGAAGTACTAGCCCTCCTTGGCCTCCATGCAATATGGAGATCGAGGACGGACCACTTAGAAGTAGCGGAGAGAGGAAAGCCCGCCTGGCAGCACTTTGTCGACGGGTTTAAGTACGTCTGCTCTTTGACTGAAGTAACGGAGCAACCTGGTTTAGAGTGCTGGTCGCAATTGAATGCAAGATTGCAAGAGCGAGAACTCACTTCGAGAGGTGAACATTGAAGCGCCATGACCCTCGGCGGGCGGCAGCCGCTTTTTTCTGTGGAACATGTGCCCTTACCTCATTCAGGACATAAGCCTATCGGGGATTGTGAGGAAGCGATAGCCCAGAGTGCTGGCCTTGTCGGATCCGCAGCCGGGAGTGCGTGCCGTTGTCCGACCGACACTGTAACCACGCAAGACATGTTTCTCTGGTTGAAAAAAAAAAGAAAAAGCCTGTCATATTTTTAATCATGTACATATAAAACTTTTAAATAAAGAAAAAAAAGCCTAATGGTTATCGCGCTTGTCTCCCACGCGGAAAGCTAGGGTTCGATTCCTGGGAGCGACGTGTCTTTTGTTTATTTCTGCAATTTAGTGTTCTGGAAAATTCGAGAATCATGTTGAAGGCTTGTTCCAGGCCCGAATGTTCTACGCATCGAATCTTCTATGCTGATTATTCCAGAAGCCCACGCGTGTACATGGGGACTTCGCGTGGCGAGCCAGAGTCAGTCTCGCCTCAGCGCTCGATCCTGCGGCTTCGCCGACATCGACGCCCGCGACGCTCTCCTGTTTCCTTTTTCTTTTATTAATTTGGGCACAAGTTTGCCCCATTAAACGTTTTGTTTCTTCAGTTATCTTTGCCTCATCAATTGTCATTCGTGACAATATCTAATTTGATACCAAATTTAATGCAATGCCTAAATGGGCAGTTTTGAGCTGCGCCTAATGATTTTCAAAGAACACAAGAGAAGACAATAGCATCAAAACCCACAGCCCAAAAACACATATTTCAAACATAAAAGAAGTGCTTTTTTTAGGGAATTCTCTGTGCACCAATATTACATACACAGATAGGGGACCTATGAAGACGACTACTGGCATTACTCTTCCCGAAAAAAGCCAACTTAGTTTTCCACTCAGCTTGGTATGCATAGCCAATCTGAGCTCAATACACACACACACACAGATACACAGTAAGCAAGACATTGGGTATTAAGTTTTGCAGCTTTGCTACCTGAAATGCCAAAATATGTATTTGTAATTTACCCATTACTGTTATTCAGTGCACCTATCGGTCTTACTGAGCTAAGACCGTGTTGAGCACATTGGTGATATACTGCGCATTAAAGCTCATTGAGCTAAAACATATTTTAGCTCGTAACTTCCAGCAAGGACCCAAAGCTTGCAACTTACTCCCACGCCTTGGTGGCCCGAAAAAATGCGTCAGCTAGCAGGCCCAGTTTGTTTCCTGGTAGCTTTTCGTGGGCCCTGAATAGGACGTCCTCCCTTTCCCTAGATAGCGAGCTGCATGCCAATCATATTGTTTATTCCATTTATTAATTGCGCTTTGAACGTGCACCGTCAGGCCATCACAGGGCCTATGCTTTCAGTTTTACGACGTGGTAGCGATTTGGTCTGGCTCAGACCATGGCAGCAGTATATTTGACAACTGCGTCACCCACGTACTTTTTGAAGAGGCAACTGTGCCTGCCTTGCCCCTGAGTGACATGGGCTAGGCCTGCCTCTCCTTCATGATGACATGACTGGCAAACCCAGGTCCAGTTGGCAGCCCAAAGGACAAGTGAGTTTTCAGTGCATGGTTTCCAACAGTAAATATGTATCAGGAGTGAACAGCTACTGTGTAAAAATAGTATTTAAGAGTGTTTGCATCATGATCTTTAAAGGTTATGTAACAAGTTGATAAATGTATTGACGTGACGGGCCCTTAAATGTGGTGATAAAGGCTCCAAAGACATAATTGTAACATGCCCTCATCAACCACTCGCAAACAGTGTACGAGAAAGATTTGTTAGTAATAGGCATATTGTATTTTTGAGGAAAAGATTCCGCTAATATTTTTAAACACTACAATTGCAAGTTTAGTCGAAAACTTCCCCGGACAGCATGTCAGTTCATCCTCGGAAGGAAATTCAAGATGCATGAAGAATACAGCCTGTCACAATAAATGCATAAGGCCAAATAACTTATCAATGTAAGTAATTGCAGATTACATTAACAATTACTGCATACATATGAATCTGTTATTAGTATGTGGGATAAGCCTTCCCATAGTTATGTCATACATACCGAGGTAGAGGTCTGCAGAGGCAATATTTAAGAGCACAGCCTGGCCTATCGCGGCCCACAGTTGCCATTTCATGGATACAAAGCCTGTGATTGAGTACGAATCCCCTCTGAACACTGACCTAACACAAGCATTCATGCTGAGAGCTGAGAAAGCACTCATGTGCAATCCGTGCTAAGAATGTGTTCCGAAAAAATGGCAGCCTCAGACAGTTGCCACAGCAGCTGCTAGATGGCCTACACTTTTGAAAAGGGTCAATTTGCTGTCCAGGTACAAAAAGGCTCATATAAATACCAGACATAGCACCGAGCGGGCCATTGGGGTCTGGAAAGCCGCTTTCCATGCCTTGAAATGTGACTGCAACAAAAGCCTGAGTGGCCAGCTGCCATAATAACGGCTTCTGGAGCATAAACGTAAACATTTTCGACAGAGGTCTGCCCCTCCTTCGGTAACATGGCATTTCCGTCTCCCAGAAGCGCCTGTCTACCATCCGTCGGCGGCTTCCTCTCCCCAAAAACAGACGGAGAAGGGAAAGCACTCAACGTCTTGTGTACCGCGTTCTTTGCGCGGATTGCCCGGTCGCTTATGTGGGGAAACGAAAAGCTTCCCGGATCGTTTTCGATGACACAAACACGACGTGAGAAAGAAAGACACTGAGTCCAACGCCCTGGCAGAGCACGACCAAAAAACGGGGACTCTTTTGCCCTCGACGAGACCCAGATATTGGCCACCGAGGGACATTGGAGGAAACGCCTTTATTTAGAGTGCTGGTTTATCCAAACAACGAGCAAGAATCTGAACCGGTCCAAGGGCACTCTCCCGAGCGCTTACGTTTCTGGACTTCGCGCCCTATGGGGTACGCCTTGACAAGGCCAGCCACCTGGGCAACCTTCCACACCGCGCCCCTACCTACAGTCAGCCGTGACCAAGAGACCGAGCAGGTCCAGAAACGTCGGGTTCATGAGTTTTTAATAAAACTTTGGTTAGAGTCCCCAAAACTATGCCGGCCTCTGGAGCATTGCACAACCTGGGACAGGAGCTCTTGGACCATTGCCCACCAGCTGTACCCCTGCCTTCCCTTCCAAGGCCTCGGCGCCGAAGACCTATGCAATCAAACTCCTCTTCCACCCACGACAAGTACGACCGTGAGGAGTATTATCATCGCAAGGCGCTTCACATAACTGCCTATATGCCGCCATGTGACACAATGTTGTTGTTTAAACGAAATAGTTAAGGATATAACCAATGATAATAGAGGTCCCGACGTTTCAAGGCCAGCTCTACGTCTTGTCCACGGGCTGGCTGTTGTGGACCCGTCTTCGCCTTCCATAGTGACCGGTTATGTCGTCTTCTTTTAAAACGGTAGTTGTTTTTTCGCGTATGTTGCGGATGATGTATCACTCAGCATACCCCGCATCGTAACCGAGACACGGAGGCGATTGGTAGTGCACCAGCTGACCGTTTGATGTGCTCCTTGGTGTTCTTAAAGTGCCAAGACTAATAACGAATGTCTTCACTAGTTTCTCTTCGTCTCCTGAATGGAGCTGTTGCTGATTGCGATGATGTAGCACTTCGTCGCAACGTGTTCTGCTAGCGCGTTACCCTGCACAGATGTATTTTTGACGTCAGATTAATTCTGGCGTAGGCGTTACGGGAAGTTTGTAGTTTCCCTAACGTATGACGCAGGGTAGTCGCCACAAGGTCGCCATGGATCATAAGTTCGCATTCAGCAGCTCTATACTTGACTCGTAGAGAAAATGGCGAATACGGCTTTTATTAGAGACTTCCCTATTGGAAAACCCCAATATAAACAGCGTATTATGGATATTGGTAAACAATATATTTTTATTGTATTGCAATACAATATAGACAGTGTATTGGAAAACATTACATTTATTGTATTGTATTACAATGAGGATTTGTTATGGGATTCCAATATCCATAATACGCTGAAAATATTGGAATCCAATACCGTAGAAACCCTTATTGGATCCCCATGTGCCGTATGGGGATCCAATAAGGGTTTACGATTCCAATATACTCAGCGTATTATGGATATTGGAATCCAATATATTATATCGGCTACCAATAAACTATATGCGAGTTGGAATATCACGTTCAGCACGACATTTCTTTGCAACGCAGTCTCTTCTTGTGTGTATTTCTGAGTGATAAAATAAAAAGTGTTGTTGTTGTCAAATTATGAATAAAGAAGCAAAACACTGGGCTTATCCATTCCAAATATATTTAACATATTCCTGAACTGGAGGATCTGGCATTTACTGCAAAACAAAGTTAATTGTTTAGGACCCTCATTCAAAAACTTGCTGTTTGAAAACAGAATGTGAAATCCTCACCTTTTAATGAAAGCAGCACCTGCTAGCTGTGGCCACATAGAAACTGCAAAATAAAAATTTGTGATTAGTTCGCAACAAGTAGCAATCCTTCACTAAGCCGGATAGATTCAAAATTATGTCTGCGTTTGATTGTGGAAAAATAAGCTTCCATTCCACTGCCACGGATCATTCTGAGCTCCGTCAATGAAATAAACCTATCGGCTCGTCTGGCTTCACAGTTCCTGCTTTGCACCTAACTAAAGTAGCTGGAATGCTCACCTTTGAGGAAAAACAAACTGGTGCTTGCTTGCTTGTAGGCCATGGAAAATGGAAGAGAGATTTGCGATTAGTTGCGTTCAAGTAGCAATTGCATTGAGTAGCCCCGTAAAGTACACTAAAAAGTCAAATTTGGGGGTTTTACGTGCCAACCCTACGACGGGCATCTGGCACGCCCCAGCGAAGGACTGAGGATTAATTTCGACCACCTGGGGATCTCTTGACGTGCAACCGAAAGCTCGGTTACACGACGCCTTCTCCGCAATAAGCCAAGTACACTAAGTCGAAAAGATTAAAACAATTACATGCGCAGGACATAGAAAACCTCTTGCAACGTAACTGGGCATACGTCAACGTCGCTCGCTTGTATTACAGAAAAATAAGCTTCAATGCACGAGCCCCCAGTCGTTCCGAGCTCTGTCAATTAA